TCCCCATGTGGGGTGGGGGGTGGCTGGGTGTGCGCAGTGAGGTGCCTCGTGCTCTGGGTGATTTCGTCTCTTCTCCCTAACACAGCATTTCTAGATTCCTGTGTTTGGGGACTTTGGTTAGGGCCCTTTTGGAGCCCTTGAAATTTAATGGTATCCTTGTGTACATGTACACAGCTTTAGGAACAGGCCATTTTACAGTTCCCTGAGAAGCCCCTTATGTATCTGCCATGTGTTTTCAATATTCACCTAGCAAACTGAGGCTTGGTCTGATGAGATCCTGGGATGCCCAGGTCTTGCTTGTCCTCAGAGCATACTGCTAGGAATAAAGACTACATAGAATAAGCTAGAAAGTGTCCAAGTACCTTAACGGAAAGAGTGTTTCCTAGCATGGAGAACACAGAATCAGTTATATCCGAATCACCGGAGATGGGATGGGGTGCTTGTTTATATTTCAGATTCCTAGGCCCATCCCAGATTGAAGGGCCCAGAATGATAGGGGCCAAGGCCAAGGCGTGTTTAGCCAGCTGTCCATGTGATTTTCAAGCACAATGAAGCAGTGCTACAGAAAGTGTGGTCCAGAGTCAAGATGCAGCAACATCACTTGGAAGCGTGTTGGAAATGCACGTTTGGGGGCCTGTCCCAAACCTCTGGATGCAGAGACTGGGGGAAGGATCCAACAATCTGGGTTTTAACAAGCCCATCATTGTTTTGAAGACTGAAGTTTGAGAAGCACCAGTTTAGCCAGAGCAGGCCACAGCTGGATGAAACCAGGCGCACGGCTGCAGGTAGATGGTTCCAGGGAGGAAGGAAGGGTGGTGTTTGTGCTGCAGCCTGCCGCAGGAGAGGCAGGCCCAGAGGCCCAAGTTCTCTGGAGGTTGGTTTCTAGGAGCTGGAACAATCCCCAAAGAGGCCAGCTGCCTGCTGCATGAGGAGACCGTCTCCAGTGAGTCCCCAAGACAGAGTGCTGTGACAAGAGCCAGCACAGAATGGGGATGTGCCCAGCCTGTTGGAATCATGTGTGAAGCATTCCTACCCAGGCACCTGTATTCTGTTGAAGGGCAGAAGTTGGAGGGAGGCGTGGGTCAGCACAGAAGGTGTGATATTCATAGATGCCGCAGGGAAAGCAGATCTACAGGACTGTAACTCAGTGTGTCCCCTTCTGTCATGGAGAGTGAGGGCTGGACAGCCTAGGAGGGGCCCCGGAAGCCCTGCCCAAGCTTCCCTCTGAGCCAGGATATGGCAGCCCCAGGTGCTGGGCCGACTTCACCAAGGACAGCGAGCTCTGGTGGGGGCCAGAAACAGTGGAGGCCAAAGTTACCAAAGACAAGGCCATGAGCAGATTTCTTAATTCTCAGAAGAGCGGGTAAGACTGTAAATGTTGGGAGTCAGAGTTGTGTGCTGACCCCTGCACATCCTGGGACGTGCCATCATTGGGAAGGGGCCAGCTGGGCACTGGGAGCCAGGGTGGCTCCCCCAAAGGTCGCCCCAGGCCCTCTGGCAGCTTTTGCTTTTCTCCTGTGGGTTATTAGACCTGGAGGGCACCTGGCAGGCACCTGGCACAGGGGATGTGTTAGAATCCTCCTTTGATGGAGGCCGTCTATAGTGTTGCCAACAAGATGAGGAAGTGGGTGTTGGGCTGTGGTAGTTAGGTGGCTGGGTAGCTGGTTGAGTGTCTGTACACTCAACTGGTTAGGTGGGCTGATGTCAGGCTGGGAGTGGTCGGCAGTGACAGTTCAGGAGGGTCCTTTCTGTGTCACTCACTTGGAAGAACACAAATGCCATGCTTTCCCAATCAGTGGATATGAAGCAAAACTGAGAGAGGGTGCTGAGATGCTCGGTGTCGGTCAGGATCACAGGAGATCTCAGTACACTGGAGCGATGGGCAGAATGGAAGGGAGAGATTTAACAGGAATCAGCATCCTGTCTCCATTGTCCAGAACACCTGGGTGTTACCGATCGGGCAGGAGGGTGGGGAGCTGCTGCCCTGGGCTCTCCGGACCACACGTGGGGCCTTTGGTTCTGAGGAGAGCTCAGAGAAAGAGAAAGGAGTTGTTCATAGACTCGAAACTATTTCAGGCAGGAATGGTGGGGAAACAAATGAGACAGTTCTTTTGGAAGAGGGGAAGACTAGAGGTGGTCTCTTGGGGGGCGGGCAGGGCCCAGGGGTGAAGTACTGTTCCTTGGTGCTGGATTAGACCCAAGCTGTGGGACACTTGAGGGCAGAGCTCATTGTTGGGACAGATCTGGACTCTAGCCGGGGCCCCCAGGAGTGAGCACCACCCTCCTGAGAGCCGGCTGAGGCTGGCCTGCGGTCCTGCCCCGGGCGGGGAACACTAGCAGGCCCTCCAGGTCCAAGTCCCGAGGTCTATTTATATAACACTAACCCCGGGCTCAGAGCTGTGCTGCATTGCACTGAATGGGCCCTGTGTGAGTTACTCAGATCTTGGAAGAACAGCCGTGGCCTCCAATGAGCTCAGAAATCCCCACCTGAATTGGGCCTTTTTAGAAGTTGTTGTTTCAAATAGGCATACGTGCATGTGGCAAGAAGTGCAAATATGAACAGTGAGCTTCATTTCTATTCCAGTTTTCCCCTCCAGAGGCAACCAGTGTCACCCAGTTTCTTGTTTATCATTCCAGGGATGGGGTGTGCGTGTGTACACAGCACTATGTTTGTACATTTTCAAAGAAGTTAGCTTAGCCTACACACAGTATTACATCTTGATTAATAATGGTGATCATTTCAAATGCCCACAGACAGAGCCGGCTAATTCTAAAATAACTACAGAGTGTCCCTTGTACAGATCTGTTGTGATTCATTCATCCAGCATCTTGTAGGTGGATATTTAGGGGTACCTTGTTGTTGTAACAAATGCTGCAGCGAGATCCAAATCCATGAATTATTTCACACAGGTGTAAGTGTGTCTGGAAAATAGGTTTCCAGAAGAAGAGTTTCTGGGTCAAGGAGTGTCATTTTTAATTTCAGCATCTCTATATTTTTAGTTATCAATTCTCAGCGTATTTGTGAGGGTGAATATCTGTAGTTCCTTTCAGTAATTATTTGCGTCATTTGAGTTTCTTTGATGGTTGTTGGTCTTTTTCTTATCGTAAAACACTTCCCCTCAATTTTTCATTTCTCTTGTCTTTGTGTTGTTTTCCTTGTCTGTTTCTTATGCAGTGATTTAATTTTATGCCTTTGGGCTTCGGGGTCGCTTCTTAAGTTTAAATCTTTGGTCTGGCTGAGGTTCATTTTGATGTATGGAACAAGGTAGTGTCCAGCTTTTTTTGTTGTTTGTTTTGGACTTTTTCCCGTCTGACTTTGGAAGGGGCCTTTGGGCTCATTCCTCTGGGAGGTAGTCAGAGAGAGCTGTGTCAGGAACACAACTACAGCTTATCATTTTTCCCAATGGGCGGTTCCTCTTTCCCCCATTGGAGGGTTCCTAGTCCATCCACCATTCAAATCCCCGGGGTATCTCCTCACCATTGAGTTCTGAGGGCTGCGGCAGATGGGTCAGACTGAGGGCAGCACCACTGGGGACCTCAGTCACCACACCACAGCAGGAACAGGAAAGGGTCTTTGACCCATACCGCAGGTAGCCGGTTCTAGCTCTCTCCAAGGTCACTAGGCCATTGTCAGGCCTCCCACTGGTTTGCCTACAGTCACCTCTGGACACACCAACCCAAAGAAATTATCATGCCCATAAGGCTGAGAACCAGGCCCACCCTGTGGGGACCCGTGGCACCTTAAGGAAGCCCTTCTGCTTCCTTGAAAACAGCATGCCCAGGTCTCCGGCCTAGCTGTGAAGGGCAACCAGAATCGTGTAGGTGGATCCCGGCATCTGGTGTTTCTCAAAGTAGGGGGGTCCCCGGACCAGCAGTAGCACTTGGGAAATAGTTAGAAAGGCAAATTCTGGTTCTACTGGCTCCAAACCTGCAGGTGGAGCCCGGCAGTGTGTTTAAGAAGCCTTCCAGGTGGTTCTGATACACACTGCAGTTTGAAAGCTAGCTGGGGGCCCTGTGTGCAAGGAGGAACAGCTCACCTGGGGTCAGCAGGTGCACTTAAGGGGCCAGCCCTCGGTTTCCGCACTCTCACCTGCTGTCGGACGCCTCTCAAACTGCAGCAGCCGCTGCTTATCAGCAGGAGCAGGCAGGTTGTGTGGCCGTCTCCGAGTGTGTGGTGTCACGGCAGATTTGTGTCCCTCCTGGGCAGTTTAATTGGCATGGGTCATGGCAGAGGGATCTGCATACGGAAGGACTTGGTGAGAGTGGATGTCCCACCACCACCAACAGGAAAGAGCCCTAGGTTCCACACCTTTCTCCTTCCCTCACTAGTGATTTGCAAGCCGCTTAGCGTTTCTGAGCTCCATCTGCCTCATCTGTAGAGACAGGGTGGTACTGCCTCACTGGCCGTGCTTCCAGGTCCTGAATCAGATGAGCCCTCCTGAGGTCTCTTCTCGTTCCTAGGAACGATGATTCCATACCTGGTTCCCTTGCTTGATGAACCGAAGGTTGGAGAACGAAAAGTGTAGCTTGAGGCAGAGCCGATTTGGAGGCCACTGTGGATAGCTTGGGGTCTGTGGGTTGGGCATAGGGAGGCAGGGGCTCTGGCTCCCCCTGTAGCTGCCTGGATGGTGATAAAGAAGAGAAAGGCAAATAGACCTGGACCCCTGAGGATGAGGCAGTGCGCTCTCACCTCTGCAGTGGGAGAACAGCTCCACACACGCAGCATCCCTTGTCAGCTGAGATGGGAGCAGAGCTTGGATGAAAGGAGTTTCAAGGAAACCCACAGGCACGTGGGTGCTGAATCCTCTGGTGGTGGGGCCTGGGCCTGCCCTGCTTGCTGTTTCTGGTGGGGGCCTAGCAGACAGAGGGTGAGCTGGGTTGCTTGCCACGGGTCAGGCCTGATGCAGCTTCTCCGGGGCAGGTTGTGGGCGTCTCGTCCTTAGGCAAGGCTGGCGGGAGCCCCCGGCAGAGCCTGAGCGTGCTTTCCTCTTCCCTTTCAGACCTAACCATGAGCTACCCACCAGGCTATCCTCCGCCCGCAGGCGGCTACCCTCCAGCTGCACCAGGTAAGTGAGGCTGGGCTGGTGTCGGGGTGGAGGCGGTGCCCTCTGTGCTCCTCGTCCAGCCGTGGAGAGGGGAAGAGTAATAGTGCTTTCCAGTCATTTCTTTGCTCCCATCGTCACTCCGTAGTGCAGCCGGGTTGGGGAGGGGCCAGGGAAGAGCGTGGACCCTGGGGCCAGGCAAGGCCCGAGTCTGAAGCCACTTCTGAAAAGCCCGGACTAGGCCAGGCCCTGGTCTCTTGTCTTATTAGCTGATAGCAACGGACAAATGCCTTCTGTTCTCTGAGACCCAGTTTTCTCCTTTACAAATGGCTTCAAGCATCTCTCCTTCTCTGGACTGGCCCAGAGAAGAACGGGATAGCCAGGTAAAGACTCTGGCACAGTGTCCTCTGGAGCACTGTTGGGTGACGTTTGCCCCTTGTCACTTCTCCTGCCCTGGGCTCAAGGTGCATGGTTTCTCCACATCAGGGACCCCCCTGCAGAGGGAAAGTAGAGGCAGTCACTCACTAAGGGGCACATGTTACCACTGCAGCTGCCAGAAGCTGTGGGCCAATAGCAGGGAGGCTATGCCAGTGGGTCAGGCATACATGTCCTGCCACTGCCATCTCTGTCAGCACCTGAGCAGCAAGAGGGAGCAGGCGGGTGATTCCAGGAAGGCTCTGTCCCAAGCGTCCCAGATCCTGGAGCTGAAAAGCTAAACCCAAGGCCCTCAGAGTCTTCTCAATGCTCGATACCCCGCAGAGGGTCTTGGGAGTGTTTGCTGAACCCTGTCTTCCTCCCTTGAAGTCCAGGAAGGTTCCCTCTCCTCTTCCAGCAGCGGGGTTGGGTTAGACTCTCTTGCCGTTTCTCTTGTGTTTTCCGTGTGGTCTACAGCTGTCCGAGGCTCTGCTTGGCCTCCCCTCCTGACCACCTGGGAGCTGGATGTCTCTGCCTTTTCCTGTTGGGGGCCACCGGGGTCTGATAGGTTTGGTATTGCTTTCAGGTGGCGGTGCCTGGGGAGGTGCTGCCTACCCGCCGCCCAACGTGCCCCCCATCGGGCTGGATAATGTGGCCAACTACACGGGGCAGTTCAACCAGGACTACCTCTCAGGACTGGTGAGTTCGGCCTTCCTGCTGGGCTGCCCCAGGGGCCACCAGCATGGCCAGAGGGACAAAGGCTGCTGGTGTCAGGTGTGTGTGTGTGTGTGTGTGTGTGTGTGTACCTGTGGGCGACAAGCGTGTTGAGCTGCGTCTTAGACCATAAGGGTTTTCATCAGGGCTCTCACCGGCTCACTGTCCCTCTCCGTGTTTTGATTTTCCCATCTGTAAAATGAGGGGCGGGGGATGCACTGGGCTGTATGGTCTTCCCTTTCAGCTCTGGGGGATTGGGTAGGGGTGGTGCCTTCATGGAATATGCATCAAGCACCTTCTGTATGAGCCCAGTATAGGATGGGAGAGGGGTGAGGGTGTGCAGGTGTGTGTGTGCGTGCAGGTGCCCTGTACGAGTGGCCACGTGCAAGTGCGTGTTTGTACGTGTGGATAACTACTCTGGTTGGGCTTGGGAGCAGGTGCCTGGTAGCACGGGCAGACGTAGTGTATTTTATAATCTCAAAACAAATGTCTGCTCAATGTAAACAGCACAACCAATACATATTCTAATTTGTGCCAGGCCTGTTGTAGGCACTAGGGATAGCAAAATCCCAGCCCCGGAGTGCTTATCATTCTCAGGGAAGAGACAGACAGTAGCATAAAGAAACCGTGTGGTGGCAGAGCAAGTGTGGGTACTTTGGGCACAGGGCCAGGAAAAGGGGGCATTGGTGCAGGTGCAGGGCATGTGGGACAAGGGTTTTAGGTTGGGTGGTCAAGGTGGGCCTTGCTGAGAAGCGGATGGATGGTGCTTGGACTCAGCTTGAGCTGAGTGTGGCTCCTGGGTGGTCACTGTAGGCTCAGGGCGGGAGGGGCAGATGGATGGAACACGGCTGGCCCCTCAGGGCTGTTCATCTAAGGCTTTGCTTTGTGGACTTTCAGGCGGCCAACATGTCCGGGACGTTTGGAGGAGCCAACGTGCCAAACCTGTACCCAGGTGCCCCTGGGGGCGGTTACCCTCCGGTCCCCCCGGGGGGGTTTGGGCAGCCCCCTTCTGCCCAGCAGCCCGTTCCTCCTTATGGAATGTACCCACCCCCTGGAGGAAACCCACCCTCTGGGATGCCTTCATATCCGCCATACCCTGGGGCCCCCATGCCAGGCCAGCCCATGCCACCCCCTGGGCAGCAGCCCCCAGGGGCTTACCCTGGACAGCCGCCCATGACCTACCCTGGGCAGTCGCCAGTGCCACCTCCTGGGCAGCAGCCAGTGCCAAGCTACCCAGGATACTCGGGGTCTGGGAACGTCACCCCTGCTGTGCCCCCAGCTCAGGTGAGTGCCAGCCCTGTGCTACTCTCTGTCCCTTCTGGCCCCAAAGGCCTGAGACACGTGGCCCAGGGTCCTCTGGCAGCAAGGCTGGGGGGGATGCGGGGCTGGCGTCAGGCTCAGTCCTCCACCTCTAACTTGTAGTTTTCAGAGTGTCACTTTCTCACAGACTCCCCATCCCCCAAGTGTATTCCTGAGGCCTAGGGAGCCTCCTGTCCCCCAGCTTGGTTAGGTTGTCCCTCTGCGAGCTGGGTCTGAACGCCCTGGGTGCTCTTCATCCCTCTTGTGTTATTTACTGCCTGGGGTCTGTGTTTTGTAAGAACTGGTCTCAAGGCCTAAGCCCGATGGCTTTTAAGTCTTCAATCCCCTGGATGTGTCCTCCCGTACTGCCAGCAGAGGATTATTAAAACCAGCTTTTTGGGAAGGGAAGATTGTTGGCAGTTCCTTCAGGGTTGCTCTTGGCTCATTTTGGAGAGCAGTTCATGTTTGCAGAACCTCGAATTCATTGTCATGGTTACATGGCCAAACCAGCCAAGCGCAGGGCTAGTGGTATGTGGTAAACTACTAATTTTAGGCATAGGGTCCCCTCCCCCCTTCCCGACACCCACACATTACTTTGCTCCTGCCCTGCATCATACCTCTCTGCCTTCTCCCTTATCTTTTCTCGGAGCTTATCTCCTTAGCTCTGTTAAAACCAGTTTGTACTACATAATCCACCAAGAGACAGTTTAGGCAGGAAAAATCAAGTTTGCTCGTAGTGTAGCTTTCAGCGTCAGGAAGAAGTCTGGCAGGCAGGCAGGTCGTAGAGTGCAGAAAACAGTGCCAGGAAAGCAGAGCTAGTCCAAGAGGCAGTCAGGCTGTGTGTACCACGTGAAGGCTGTACGCTTGCATCCTGGGGGGAGCACTTTTTTCTAATGTGCGTGAAGGTGGACTAACCAGGCCCATTAGGGGAGTCCCGATGTGTGCGTGGTGGTGAGGCCTTGGGGAGAGGCCAAGCCCCTGTTCCCAAGGCCTCCCCTTCATTAGGAACCCAGGCCCAGGCCTGGAGGACCCGGGCATAGGGTAGATTTTTCAGCATGAGGACCAGCTCTAAGTGGGCTCCTAGCTGCGGGAGCCAGGTAGAAGCTTCAGTTCCAGGACACAAGGACAGGTAACAGTCATGTTAGGCCGACTCAATGTGAAGTCTCCTGTGCTTTTGATTGCAGGCTTCTTCAAGTACCCCAACTTTTAGAGGAAAGGTCATTCCCAGAGTCTGGGGTGGGCAGTCTCTCTTCTGGGGAATACAGCATCTTTCTGTCTGTCTGAGCAGTTTGGAAACCGAGGCACCATCAGAGACGCTCCTGGCTTTGACCCACTGCGAGATGCTGAGGTCCTGCGGAAGGCCATGAAGGGCTTTGGTGAGCATCCCTGGGTGGCACAAGTCCTAACCACCCTGACTCCCCAGGCACTTCCACAGTGGCTCTGTGGGCTGGTGTCGCTGGGTGGGGGCAGCCTGGCCCCAGTGGTCAAGGAAGAGAAGGTGGACGTGGGGTGCAGTTGGGATGCCTGGGAGAATTGGAAGATCCAGGCCAGGAAAGTCTGAAGCTGCAGAGCATCCCCACGAGCCCCAGCCCTGCCTACTCCCATCTCTCCTTCCTCCAGGGACCGATGAGCAGGCCATCATTGACTGCCTGGGGAGTCGCTCCAACAAGCAACGGCAGCAGATCCTCCTGTCCTTCAAGACAGCTTATGGGAAGGTGAGTGTTGGGGTGGGGGGTCCAGGGAGCCCTGGTCCCTTCTGAATCAAAGCATATCCTCCAGCATGGCCCTACTCCTGCTTTTCCTTGGGGCTGAGTGGGCCTAGATCTCCTGGACAGACAGTAAGGCACATGAGGGCATCTCCTGCTGGCTCTCAGCTGATGGCATCTTCTAGAGGTGAAGGATGCTCTGAGGGAGAAATCCCAGAGTCCACGGGGTACTGAGGTTTGATGAGAGGGGTACTGAAGTTTGATGAGAAGCGCCCAGAGATCTGGGTTCCAGCCTGGCTCTGCTATGACTCACTGAGACCACGGGAGAGTTACCCGACTCCTACCCAGGCTGTTTCCCCTGCTGGGAACCCAGGCGGCCCACCCCTGCCCTCTTCATGACCACCCTAGGTTTACCTGATAGAAGGGATTTGAAGGAAAGGGCTTTAAGTACTGAGCAAGTGTGGGGGTGGGTGTATTTTGCACTTTGGGGGCCTTGCATCTTAGAAAGGTAATACTGGGTACATATTGAATAGGCCTGTGATCTGGCCCGGTACCTCGCCTACTTTAACGTGCTGTGTGGATCTGGTTCGAAAGCAGGCTCTGATTCTGCAAGTCTGGCTGGGGCCTGAGATTTGGCTTTTCTGCCAATACTGCTGGTCTATGGATCTGGGGTGTTGTCCCTCTTAGTCATCTTCTGTGGAGTCTCAAAATAGTTTTTTTTTTGTTTGTCTGAATGTCCAATCAGGATTTGATCAAAGATCTGAAATCTGAACTGTCAGGAAACTTTGAGAAGACAATCTTGGCTCTGATGAAGACGCCGATCCTCTTTGATGCTTATGAGATAAAAGAAGCCATCAAGGTGTGTATGTGCTATATGTGCGTGTGTACGCATGCACGCCTGTGTGTGTGTGTGTGTGTGTACAGCCCGGGGAAAGGCCTGGACCGTGTTGTGTGTCTTAACCCGCTCATTAGCTACTGTTGCCAGCACGGCTCCTGGACCCTTCTGGGTTGGAGTCCAAGTGCTGTAGAAAGGGGAACATCTGGTGGCTTCCCCAAGGGGCAAATGACATATTACTCATCATCAGGGAGCATCTTAGTCTCTCTGCCTTAAAAACACAGCAGGAGCTGATGTTGCAGAGGAAGCTAGTGATGCAGTGATAAGAAGATGGGTAGGAGGTGTGGGTATATCAACCTCATTCTTTGGGACACTGTAGTTAGCAGACAACAGAAACTCTCTTGAGGAACTTATACAGAACAAAGGTGGAGAACTAGTTGTGAGGATGAAGATGAGCAGCCTAGCTTGGAGAGGGACGAACCCCAGGCAGGATTTCTCTCTCGTCTCAGCTGCTTCTTGAGTGTGTGCCTCATTCTTCCGTCTACTTCTGTGTTTCTCCTTCCTTGTCTGCTTGGCACAGCATCCCTGTCGACCCTTCTCCATGGACCTATCAGATCCAGCCACAGAGGAGACCAGCTGTCCCTTGGTCCAGATTTCAAATAGAGGGCAGTTTCTGGTGGGCTTTGTTTGGGTTCACTCTCCCCCGAACCCAATCAGTTATGACCTAAGGAGGGTCCTGCACATTCCATGCAGTCCCGTGGCTCCCAGGACCCACAGCAGGTGTCCTGTGGACGGGGCAGGGCAGCTCCCACAGACAGGGAATCTTTGTCAACTGAACAGGTGCCCCAGAAGGAACCTAACCTTCCTCAGAGGCCTGACATGCAGTGACTTTTCCTGCCCCCAAGAGTGTGTTACTCAAAACTGAGTTCACCTCTTGGTGAGTGTTGAGCCAAAAGACACAAGCAAGCCAAAGAGTGGGAGAAGGAAGAATTTATTACTTGCAGCAAAGAGGAGAACACAGGGGTTCTTTCCCAAAGCAGTGTCTCCTCGAACTGCAAAATTGGGGAATTTTTAAGCTAAGGGCATGTGTATATTCATGAAGGGGCTTGGGCAGTGTACCGAATCCGAGTTTTAGTTGATTGACGTCACAAGAGCCAGAAAAGGGCAACATCGTCATCCCTTAGGTTCCAGTTGATCTGGTGGTTGAGGCCCTGCGGGGGTTTAAACTGTGTAAAACAGCTCGAGAAGTGCTTCAGGATAGTCTTTACCATTGAGAGAATTGGGAGTCTTTACATCTCCTGCCTTAAGATCATCATTACTGAGCTGTTCATGGGCAAACATTGTGGCCAGGCCTGGATCCCAGATTAGCTTAAGCCAAAAATGACTTCTTTTGTGTCAAGAAGCCATGCCTGGTTCTCTTGCTCTGGGAACCCTCTACCGCATCTGCCTACAGTATCATTCCTGTTTTATGCACAAGGAACCTGAGGCACAGAGAGGTTAAGTAACATGCCCAAGGTCACACAGCTAATGAGCAACAGAGCCAAGATTCAAACTGACATAGAAGCCAGGCTGCTGATCCTGTCTTCCGCCTCCTCACTGTTCTTGACGCCGTCATCTCTTTCATCCTTGATGTTGCTGCCTTTTCTTAGATGTCTCCAGATGCTCCACTGTCCACTCTAGGACTTGTGTTTTCCCACATGTCCTTGCTCTTGCTTTAAACCCATTTTCTCTGTTGTTTTGCATATCATTCATGGGCTGAGCTTGGAATGAAACAGATCTGCGTCCACCTCTCAACCCCACCACTTACTGCGTGGCCTTGGACAAGTCATTGCAGCTCTCTGATTCTGTGTCCTGGCGGGTGGAATGGGGTTGATCCTTCATGTGATCTCTACGTATCACCATGTCGCTGTCATTACTGCTACTTTCCTGGGACTGTAGGGGGAGCCTTCGTGCCTCGGGCCCGGGCAGTGGCAGCAGCACCATGGGCACCATGGTCTGTGTCCGTGGCCTCTGTCGCTGGGTTTGGCGCCCTGCAGAATCACGGCACCTGCTCTGTTTCCCGGGTGCCAGCGAGGGAGCTGTAACAAGCTTGTGGTTTGGTGTGCGCTCTGCTCCGCAGGGGGCGGGCACCGATGAAGCCTGCCTGATTGAGATCCTCGCCTCCCGCAGCAACGAGCACATCCGGGAACTGAACAGAGCCTACAAGACAGGTTAGGCTGGCCCCTGGGGCCTCTGCCCCCTGCTGATCCCTGTGCTTTCAGGGCCTGGCCACACCCTCTCCCAGGGCCTCCCTTCCTGGCCTTCTTATCTCCTTATCTGCCACCCCCAACACCATGGGCCTCTATCCAAGACCCAGCCCTGCCTGCTGTTTACACACAAGCAGGTGACAGGGTAAGCAAAGGGGGAGCCTCCTGGGCCAGGATGGGGCCAGGCCTGACTGCAGACCAGGTCAGCCTGGAAGTCACAGCCCCTCCGGGGTTGCCAGTTGTATGTCCCTGGGGGGCCTTGTGGGCCACCTGTCTCCTCGTGCCAGTGCCCACTGTTGACTGTGTGCAGTGGGTGGCGTGGGCCACAGGATACAAGCGTGTTTCCCTTTCAGAATTCAAAAAGACCCTGGAGGAGGCCATCCGGAGCGACACGTCAGGGCACTTCCAGCGGCTGCTTATCTCTCTCTCTCAGGTACCTTTCCCCGGACAGAGCTCGGGGCCCACAGCGGAGAGAGGGAACGGGGTTAGGGTGGGGTGCATGACTGCAGGGAGCAGACTTGACCACACAGCCTGCTTCCTTTCAGGGAAACCGGGATGAAAGCACAAACGTGGACATGACGCTTGTCCAGAGAGATGTCCAGGTAAGTGTGGTGGCCGCGCACCTGGCTTCTGAGCCAGAGGGCTTCTCTCACTTTTTTGTATCACATGGGAGAAGTTCTGGGATGAAAAGAGCAACAGACAAGGAGTGGATTCCAGATGCTGTGAGTTTCACACAGCTCTGCTGCTTATCAGCTGCGTGACTTTGAGCTGGTCACCCCCACTTCTCTGGTCTTCAGTTTCCCCACCTGTAGGTGGGAACATGTGGGATAATATATATTACACCAGATGGCAGATCAGTTATGGATGTGGCAGTCCACGTGACTTGGTGCTTTCCCCGTGTCTGGTTGCATAGACCATTATGTTCACAAATGGGGCAGAACTCCTCGCCTATTAAGCTTTTGAAGATTTGAGCCTAGAAACCAAGCTGTCACGGTTTGTGCAGCCTTAGAATTCTGCCCTTGCCCCCAACTGGTGTGAACTGAAGACAAAAGGGGGAGCAGTCTCTTGCTGTTTGCTCTCTCTGTCCAGCTGCCAGAGCGCCTCTCTAGAGGAGTTTGGGTTTCCTACTAATGAATTCAGGCCATAGCAGTTCTACCTGGAGAGAGCCCTGCCTTCCTGATGGATGGAGCTGGCCGTACCTGTCTCCCCCTGCACTGCTCCAAGGCATGGCATTCACCAGGAACTTGGAGTGGGCTCCTCGTCTCTGTCATGTGGCAGGTTGAGGAGGACTTCTACAGGTGCCCTCTTGTGAGGGCTAGGAGAGAGCCACTCTTCTGGCCTGGCCCACTTGCTTTCCAGATGAGGACACTGAGGTTCAGAAAGGTTGAGCATTGTGTCCAGAGAAACTTGGAGGCAGAGCCTGGACAAGGGCCCAGATGCCTGGCTCATTCTCTGTGCCCAGACAGTGCCTGCCTCTGCCCTGGTCCCAGACCCCTCCTTTAACGTCTCCCTGGCTTGGGACTTGGGACACTCACCCCTTCTTTGGCTCAGAGCTGGACGCCCCTGAAGCCCTGGGCTCTGGCTCTTGCCCCAGTGGGAGTTTCCCTGTTGCTGTTCCCTGTACAGGCTGTTTCCTAGCTGAGGCAGAGGTTGCCTTGGTTTCAGGTCTTGGACCTGCTGCTCTGCCTTTTCAGTTCTGGACCTGCTCAGGCTCACCCTGGCCTGGGGGAACTCTGAGCCCCTGATGGCCACTTTCTGCCCTCAAGGATTAGTGCCTTAACATCCAAGAACTGCTACCTGAGGCCTGGAGGGCACTTCGGAGCCAGCTGATGCAGGGGTTGCAAATTGGCAAATATATTGGGTGAACACTTTCAAAAATTTAACTGAAAAATGCAAGAAGCATCATGCAAGCACCTCTCACATAAAATCCACATCCATCACTGTGATCCAGCAATTATAATATTTATTGTCTCATGCCTCCCTCGTATAGATAGAGAAACTGCTTTTAAAGACTGAGAAACTTCACATAGATACCTGGATTTCTCATGAGAAATGGATCTGGCGGCTGTGAGCCTGGGCTCCTCTGTCAGACTCGGCTGAGAAGTAGCTGCCCCTCCTCACGGGCCCCACGGGCCCCGCCACCCTCTGGGCATACAACTGGCCTGACTCCCAAATTTAAGTTACCCAGCTGGCCCCTTTGGGCTTTCAGGTTTGGGACCCTGAATGCAATCCAAACTTCACATTTTAGAGATGAGGAAACAGGCTCAGAGAGGCTCAGGCCGGTGGCCTGCCTGGAGGCCTGTGACAAGCTGGTAGCAGAGCTGGGCCTCAGGCCCACGTTTTCCTCTGTGCCACTGCTCCCTTGGTTGGGTTAAAGCTGTTCCTTGCCTGTCCTGGGCCCTAGCGGGCCTCAGCTCTCTGGGCTCAGTGGGAGGATGTGTGGGTGATGTCTAGTTCTGCACAGTGAGTGGAGCTCAGTTGGGGTCCTGCCCTCCTTCCCTTCTCCTCTGGGCCTGCAGGGCCTGGAGACTGCCAGGTTCTTGTGGGTGACCCAGGCCTGGTGTCTGGGGTGAGGCCTGACTTGTGTGCCCGTCTGCCCATCTGTCTCTCTAGGAGCTCTATGCAGCCGGGGAGAACCGCCTGGGTACAGATGAGTCCAAGTTCAATGCAATTCTGTGCTCCCGGAGCCGGGCCCACCTGGTGGCAGGTAAGGCAGAACCGGGCCTCCCTGCAGCCAGGTAATCAGGGCAGACGAGGTGTGGGAGGAAACAGCTTGCAGGAGCACTTGGCAGTTCCCCTCTGCACGGGCCCTTCACTTCCCTGAAAGTGCCCCCTGGCGGTGATTTAAAAGATCTTGTCAGCGGGTTTCCTGAGTTTCTGCAAGTATCAGATGCTGGGGGAAAGCTAGGGAGGAGGTAAGGGAAATGCGAGCTTCCTGGTGTCTTTCCGCGCTAGAATGTGGCGAATGTATTAGAGTTGAGGGAGCCTTCAAGAGCACCTGATCCAATGGTTTCCAAAGTGTGGCATAAAAAATAAACATAACAGTAATACTCAGTAACACTTATTTACCCATTCCTTCAACAAATACATACTGAGCTCCTGCCTGGTGCCAGGTCGTGGAGCAGGTATAGGGGACGGCACTGCAGAATCTCTGTTCTCATGGGGTTCACCTGCTTGTTTGGGGAGACGGGCAGTAAACAAAAATTAAGCACCATCTGTCCCAGGTGGTAAATCCAAATCCTCCCACTTTACAGATGAGGAGCAGGCGCAGGGCAGCTGGGGAAATTAGGTCGCCCAGCTGGGAACGGGACGGAGCTGGGATTTGAACTTAGACTGAGGGCCTCCAGGGCACACTTTTTAATGTCTACGCTGTACTGTAATGAAGAGTGAGTGAACACATGTTCACCTTAATCACTGTTTATTTTAATGAGCATGGAATATATATGTGGCCCATCAAACCCCAGGTTTCAGACATTATTAGTCAGGAGAAAAGAGGAGCTGATCTGAAGAAAATAGTAAATAATGAAGATGGACAGAGAAATAGCGGAAATCACAATACTGATATGCAGATAACAGCACTTTGGAGAACACAAATTGAAACTGAGACCCCAGCTAGGGAACGGGGGGTTTAAAGGGATGGAGTTAGGACCCAGGTCTCCACGGTGCCACCTGCCTGTCCCGGAACCCACAGCCCACTTCCCCGGGGGTGGCCCATCCTCGGGTAAGCTGGGGCGCTGGACGGGCATTAGCGTGCAGTCAGATTGAGAAAGCCCAGCACGTGGAATGATGGCTGGCGTGACTGGAAGTGCGAGGGATTTGAGAGGAGTGTTGGTGTCGGGGACTCCAGGACAGGGGATTGAGGTGCGACTGGTAAGCAGTCTGGCGAGGGTGGTGCTGGTCAGGGGACCAAGTGAGCAGACCTGGGGGGGCGGCGGGTGCACTGGCCTGGGATGAGAGCTGGGCAGGTGTGGTCAGTGGGGCCGCCGGGAGAGGTGGGCTCCTGGAAGGCGGAGGCCTCCTCACCATGTGTCCTGTACGAGTCAGCTTGGGCTGCCTTCATAAAATACCAGAGACCGGGTGACTGAAACAACAGAAGTTTACTTTCTCACAGCTCTGGAGGCTGGAAGTCCAAGATCAAAGTGTCGCCAGGCCTGGTTTCTCCAGAGGCCTCTCTCCTTGGCTTGCAGACGGCCACCTCCTTGCCGTGGCCTCACGTGGTCTTTCCTCTGGGTTTGCATCCCTGGTGTCCCCTGTGTGTCCACATCTCCTTTTCTTATAAATATTCCAGTCAGATTGGATTCGGGCCCATGCTAAGGGCCTCATTTTAATTTAATTACCTCTTTAAAAACTTTAACTCCAAGTACAGTTACATTTGGAAGTACTAGGGGTTAGAATTTCAACATAGGAGTCGGGGGTGGGGAGCAGAATTCAGTCCATAATGAGTCCCTCTGTCTTCTCATTAGTTTTCAACGAGTATCAGCGAATGACGGGTCGTGACATTGAGAAGAGCATCTGCCGGGAAATGTCCGGGGATCTGGAGCAGGGCATGCTGGCCGTGGGTAGGTGTCCTGGGCCCGCCCACCGGGGGCGGCAAGTTTTCAGGCTGCTCACCCATCCTCTGGTTGAGGAAGAGAGTAGTGATGGTCCAAGATTGCTAAATCCAGCTGCCTACGTGGTGGGAAGTCAGGCTGTTTCCCGGATCACTGTGTGGTTGTACCCCCAGCCATCCTGGAAGTGGTGTCTTGTTTATATTTCAAGCAAAGCTCCAGGGGAGGGAGCTGAGTGTGGGCACTCGTGGGAGAGCAACCAACTGCTCTCCTGGAGGAAGATGACTCACATCCTGCTAAAAATACATCCCTGCAGGCAGTTGTCAGATGTTTGTGATGGAAGCACGTGGAAAGATTTTTTTACTTGCCACAGCAAAACGGGCCATTGCTAAGGAAGCTGGCATAGCTCCCAGGACGCTGGTGCGCTTCCTGCAGTGACTGTGTCCTGCCCTCTGGAGCAGGGACTGGAGGGCTCCAGGTCCTTCCACCCCACCTCCCAGAGAGGGGTTAGCCCTTCTTTATACCCACTTGGGAACATCACAATTTGCCTGTCTTTTCCTTTGCTTTTCCGGATGGGACCAATGTCCCTTCATCGCCCATGGTAGGTATCATGGCCTGAGAACCCCAAGGAGACATTCACTCCACTCAGCCATCCTTCTCCATGAGGGTCACACCACCTCCAGCCCATCCACTCCTGCCCGAGAAGCAACATGGTTCCTTATCACCATCCATGTTCCTTCCCTACGCAGCCCCTTTCAGCACAGTGGTTACCAGGAAAGCGGTTGGGTTGGTGTCCAGGCTCTGCATGTTTCTGTTCCAAAGAGCTGGAGCAGGATCGTTGGATAATTGAGCCTGGAGGAGATGGGGGAAGAGGAAGCTACATGTGGTGGTGTGTTTGATTGACATCAGGCCTGAGAGGATGCTGTGAGCTCCATGTCCTCTCCACCCCCCACCCCAGACTTGGTTTTCTGCAGATTGAGTTACACTGTGTTTCTCTTTTCCAGTGAAATGTCTCAAGAATACCCCAGCCTTCTTTGCTGAAAGGCTCAACAAGGCCATGAGGGTAGGTAACCCCCACGTGCAAGGTCTGGGTGGGAGGTGTCTCAGCCCTACCTGTGACTGGTACCTTGCTCAGGGAAGGGGGCATGAGGAGAGCCATCCTTCAGCCAAGAGGACAGAGGACAGAGGGCCCATTGGTGTGGAGGGGCCCATGGCCCAGGGCAGTTGGGGAAGTGGGCGGTGAGGAGTCCCGTTGCCCACAGCCCACAGCCTTTGGCGGACTTTCTTTAGGGAGCAGGAACCAAGGACCGGACCCTGATTCGCATCATGGTGTCTCGCAGCGAGGTCGACCTCCTGGACATCAGGGCAGAGTATAAGCGTCTGTATGGGAAGTCGCTGTACCAGGATATCACGGTACGATGGGGCCTCCGGGGCCTCCCCGGCCGCTCCTGCTGCCCCCTTCGCCCTCCCTCCCTGTGGTTCTGCATCTGTCAGGGAGGAGTCAGTCGTGTCCCCGACCCTGGAAGGCCTGCAGCCTGGCTCCCCGGGCTCCCCACTGAGTCACTCATCTCCCTCGGCTGAGGCGGAGGCAGTTCAGAGGGAGGGCTTGGGGTCCAGTTCTGACTTTTCTCCCTGCTCATTGTGTGCTCTAGAGCAGCTTCCCTGAACCTCACTAAACTCCAGTTCCATCATCCTTAAAATGAGGATAGTAATACCTCAATTATTACTCAAGTGTTGTGCATCTTGAAGGAGGCCGTCCACGTGAAGCACATTGTGTGACCGTGTAAAGGTCTCATAGACGCTACTCCTCTGTCATCACTGTGTGCGAGAGCCGGTCTGGCAAAGTAGATTCCTGTCAGGGATTGGGGGGGGGGTCCTGACAGTAAAATTCTCAGCTCACGTGAACCTTGAAATTGAAGTCACCACGCCCAGGTCCTGATTTCAGACTCACTAAGCTTGATATTGGGCGTCCCTGAGAGAAGGTTCTTGGCTAGAAAAAGGATGCTGTTGGTAGCAGAGAATTAGTAACTATTCACAAAGTATCTTGCGTGTGTCAGCAGGCCGTGGGCATCTGGAAGAACCCATTGGCCTTGCCCTCGAGGAAGGAAATGAAGGAAGGATGTGATTAGAAACTAGCCAAGTGTGGCCATACTTCTAAAGTAGGTGCAGTGGGCCCAGATGGAGGAGATGAGTGTGAGCTCGGGTGCCAGGGGATAGCAGTTCCCTCCCCTGGACGGTCTCATCCCAGTCGGTTACATTTCTTGCACAGGGCACAATACTGGGTTTTGGCATAATCTCAACTTAGTACAACAAAAATACACTGGGCCAAGGCCACCCTTAGCCTTGGGGAGGGGTGCTTTTGGATGTTTGAAAGTTTTTTGTGTTTGTTCTTCAAATTCTGACTTTGATCATTGGGGTGAGTTAGTATTCTGTTTTTAAACGAAAAGCTGGGGAGGCTGAACTGTGTTGTCCAAGGTGTGTGCCGCAGGCGAGGCCGAGTGTATGAGCCTCCGATGGGGGGTTTCCTGGGATGGGGCCGCCCCTCTGTAAGGGCGCCTGAAGCAGAAGAAAATCAGGAGGCCAAAGCCAGCCACACCTCTCTTAACTGATGTTTTACTTGTTTCTGTGACCAGGGAGACACTTCAGGGGATTACCGTAAGATTCTGCTGAAGATCTGTGGTGGCAACGACTGAACGGTGACTGGTGGGTCACTTCTGTCCACCTGCTGGCAACAGCGATGCCAGGAAAAGGCTAAAAGAATGTCCGTCGGTTTCTAATAAGTCCACAAAGCAGCCCCCAGGTGTCCCAGTGCGGACTGTCTATAGCACCTTGGCCCACCCTCCGCCCGCCCTCCTGATCCGTATCGTATATCACGCTTGTGCTGAAGGAGCTGGGCGGGAACTCTCAGGGTGCCTCCCCACACCCCTCTCAGCCTCTTGCTGCTGAAGTAGACGTTCTGTTTCCTGACTCATGCAATCCTGCCCCTTTGCTTGTGGCCGAGACTCTTGCTTCATCTTAGTGGAGTAATTTTGTATGTTTATTTGGAGGCGCTCATTTTTTTTATATAGTCATGGCCAGACAAATGCACCCATGTCTCTGTTGCATACACGGTTCTCGTGAGAGGTGGGGGTTGGGGGCGCCGTGTCTTCACTGAGGAGTAAAAGGGAAAACCTTTAGGGGTAATCTTCGCATCTGGCGAGAATGTGTCATGAGCTTTGTTATTGCCAAACTCATTCCTTTTTAGAAAAGAAAGAAAGGGAAAAAAAACAAAAAAGGCCAGAAAGTCATCTGTTTCTTCTTCCATGCAAAACCACAAGAACAAAGCCAGCTCCCTGCCAGTGTGCCAGTGACAGGGCTTCTTGTGATTGAGAATGTGCCTTAAATCTGAATGTCAATGGCCAAAAGCTGTTTCTAAATTAAAGCCAGCCAGCTCTGGATCGTTCTGGAAGTGTTTTCCTGGTGCAAGGCATGTTTTCTTCTGGTCCATGATTGTATCCTGTAGCTCAGGGGTTCCAGCCTTACTAGCCAGTGAAGACTTACATGACTTCAAACAGAAACTTGTGCTGGGAAGCCCTACGTGTATATAATTCACAGGGACTGAACTGTAAGGACATGAGAAAGGGAGGTTCCTGAAATTCATGCTCCTGGCCCAAAAGGTGTGGGGATCTTGGTCAGATGTGGGTGCGGTGAAACCACTGAGGGCAAGTAGGGACAGTGCGGTCCTTCACCCCGGTCCTGAAGGAGGGACACAGGCGGGGGGTGTGCATGACTCCTGGGGGCGCCCTTACGGCCAAGGGTCAAAGAGACACGAGACCAGTGCCTCCCCTCAGGGGCCCTTCTGTCTGAAAGGGAGCTCTTGGCCGTGGCCCACGGCAGGCCCTTTGCTTCTTGGCTGGTGGTGGTAGGAGAGCAAGTCCAGAAGGGACAGAGTTTTCAGAAATTGTTGTGTCATATCCAGAAGCCCAGAGCTTGGCTTCTGGTCAGGGGTCCCCACTCCCTTTCTGATTTCTTATGTTGAAAGTTTAGAAAGGAGAGAATCCAGAGACGGGTGGGAGCCCCAGCCTGCCGGGCCCTAGCAGGGACCCAGGGAGCGGCCTGTCCACAGAATAGACATCTGCTTGGGGACACCACCTTGACTCCTCACTGCCTTCTGGACATAGGGGAGGGGGCGGCCCAAGAGGCCCGGTGCAGCCATGAGCTGGACACTAGCCGGGCCTGCCTCCCTGCCTTGCCCAGCAGAGAAGGCTGATGTGGGCCCTGGAATGGATGGCCGGCCCTGCTCATCACTTCAGCCCTGCCTCAGTTTCCATGCCTGGAGCCTCCTGACCAAGGCCCAGCATGCTTGGCTGAGGCACTCTCCACCTAGGGCAGGCCCTTTGCCCTTGGGTGCCCAGTGGGACTGCCTCGTGGGATGGACTGCGTGGTATTGCACGACTTACTGTGAGCTCAGGCTGACCCTAGTGGCCTCCTGAGCCATGCCAGGGCCTAGAATCAACCTCCTGCAATGTGACTGAATGTTCTGTGACATTACTATGTCCCATTGTGTGCACCAGAGGTTTCAACCTGGTGTCCAGCCGGCAGCATCTAACCTGTATGTATATTTACTTTGGTCCCCAAAGAGTCTTTTTAGATGTTTGAATTTGTTGTCAACATTTAAGCATTGAGAGATGTCATATTTTTAAAAATCTGAAATAATGGATTCTCTTGAAAAACCAAAAATTCTAGCACTATTGGCCCAGCATTCCTGCACAGCAATTGCTGCCAGAGCCAACTTGCAGCTACCCTGTTTAGACACGTACTATCCATTTTGCCACAGGCCCCACTACTCCCTATGGTATTATACCCAGCGCATGTTACCTATTTGGCCCTATTATAGGCCTTTGAGTTCGAAACCTCTGGTCTGCACACTTGGGGACCACCTGTGTTCATCTTGGCCTCAATCTCTACTTTATGTCCCTCTGGCTGCCCTCTTGGTTATGCCCAGGGGACCCATAGTGAGGATGAGCTGGAGGAAGATGTGGACTCCTCACAGATCTCTTCAGAGACAGCGAAAGGCAGCTGCCACCTTCTAAGGTGAGTGGAAGCTTTTTAACACGATGATGCTCGGGATAAAAAAAGATGAGGGAGACATTGACCTTACAGGTCATCTGTCTGGCAGAGAACTGCACTGGGTCTTTCCTGCTGCCTGGAGGTGTTCGTCAAGGCCAGTCCACGCTACACATCCAGTGTCACTTCCCGAATAGCAACCAGAGGATGAGACACCAGGTGATTTCTGTCCTGAGTCCATTTTCAGCAGCTCTGGGACATCTGAAGGAATACTGCATGTTAGGGGCAGGTCCAGAATTAGGGTGAGGTAATGAGTCATTTGTCTCAGGTGGAAAAATCTAAGAAAGGAACCTTGGAGTCCTCACTTTGTGGATGTGGGAATGGTCCTGAAGTGGGGGTTCTCAAACCCTAGTGTGCATCAGGATCATCTGAGGAACTTATTAAAGATGCAGGTCCCTGGACCCCACCCTCACTGATTCTGAGCAGGCAAAGGGGCCAGGAAAATGCATCTGTAACCTGCTTGCTTATATTCTGATGCTGATCTAAGTACTCCTGTGCTGAGACAAAGAACTTATGAGACTAGAAATGTTCACACCGAGGGCAGGTGAGCAGGTGGCAGGGTGTTTGGAATTCAGTTAGGTGACGGGAGATGGGACTAGTCCAGTCCCAACTTTGGCAGAGGGACCTGAAAGTTGAACCTTTGCAGGTACCCTTGGGCAAGCCAACAGCTGCATGGCCGTGGCATGTCCATTCTTTTGTTTTGGCAGGAAGCTATAGTCCTGGCCTAGGACTTGGCCTATTATTTCAGCTGTCAGCTCCTTCCAACCCTGGCTGATATGGAATGGAGTCAGATATGGAAACAAATCAAGCCAAATTATTTCCCCAGGCAGGTACCAGCCTAAATTGTCACCCCATCAAATCTGAAGGCTCTCTGCCTGTGTTCCTCTGAGGACAGGGACATCTTTACTCAGTCCTCCACCTGGCCCTTTACAGGGTTCTCGCTCAGCAAATGATTCAACCCACGAAGCCTCCAACTCTTCATGGGCTCTTAACCTTCAAACCCCACTCCTTGGAAAGCTCCCTTTGGCCTAATACTGGTGTCCACTCTGAACCTGGTTCCTTCTCAACGGTAAGAGCTGATGCAGCCCTGAAGCAGGAAGCACACTGGTCCCGGAGTCAAGCATCCCTATTCTGGTCTCAGCTCAGCCACTGATTTGCTGTGACCTTGGATAAGTCACTTCCCCTCTTTGGGCCTCTGTTGCCCCTTTGTAAGATGAGGGTAGACTAGATCAGAGCATCTTAAACCTCATTGTAGTCAGCAAAAATGGTAGAATAGGGAACTCCAAAAGTCCGTTGTTCCTCCTTGAAAGCGACAAATAAGATGGCAAAGATGGTCAGAGTCAACTTTATCAGAACTCTGAAAACTAATGGGAAGTTTGCAGCACCCAGTCAAAAGCTTAAGGAAAAGGAAAAAAAGCCGAGTCTTAGTAAGACAGTCTTCTTGCATTTTCACGTACCCCAGCCTTATCCTCCTCATCCCAGCTTGATAACAGCATTGAAAACAATATCCACAGTCCACTGAAGGTTCCTAGCAACGGAGGGAACAGGATGGACCTAGTTCTCAGGAATTACGGTGGTTTATTTTGGTCCATCTGCCTGCTCCCTTAAAAGACTGGCTCAAATGACTTGCTTTTATTTACCTAATTGGAACTCTCCCAGGGTGGAGGTGGCAACCCTGGAGGACATCTGAAGGCAAATTCATTAGCCACTGATGCCTGGAGAAGGGGATAACGGGGCAAACAGGAGGCAAGCTGAAAAGTTTGGGGAGGGAAGGCTGGGGATGAGATGCTTTGGGGTATAATGGTTTTGGAGTGCTCCCATGAACTCCTGGGACTGGAAGGCCACACACATGCCCAGCGTTGGGCATATGCTTAGAAAAGACTTGAGATGGCCCTAAGCGCCTTAACCTCTGGCTGACCTTCAGGCTCTGCACAAGCAGGAAGTGAGGGCTAAGGCAGAATCGTAGACTGCCTGGCTGCGTCAAAAGTTTTGCCCCAGCACACATTTGTAAAGACTGGGAGATGGGGGGTTTTGTTGTTGTTCTAGGAGTTTAAGGAGGTACACTGAATCACTAGTGACCACTAAACAGAGACTTCAACAGTCACACCTGACAAAGAATACAAACTTTAAAAGATTAGTTCAGAAGAGTCACTAAACAAACTACAACAAATTCAACAAGCAGCAGCAACAAACTCTTGGGAAGGGGGAAGAATCTGATCTCCAGGATTTTCACTTCACAATGTTCAGAATGCCTAGTTTTAAACAAAAATTATGAGGCATGCAAAGAAACAAGAAAGTAGGACCCATACACAGGAAAGCCAGAAATCTGTTAATAGAAATTGAGGAAAGCCTAGATGTTGGACTTACCAAGCAAATACTTTCAATCAACTGTCTTGAAAAAGGCTCAGCTCAAGGAAACTATGTATAAAGAACTACAGGAAATTAAGAGAACTGTGTCTTACCAAATAGAGAATATCAGTAAAGGGAAGCTAAAAAAAGGAACCAAGTAGAAATTCTGGAGTCAAAAAGTACAATAACAAATTTTACAAAATCACTAGAGGGTTTTAACAGGAGATTTGACAAGACAGAAGTTGGCAAACTTCAAGATAGGTCAATTGACATTTCCCAATCTGAGGAGCAAAAAGAAAAAAAAGAATAAAGGAAAATTAACAGAGCCTAAGACCTGTGGGACATCAAGTATACAGACATAATGGGAGTCACAGAATAGAAGAGAGAAAGCATCGTTCCATTGAAGGATCGATGGCTGAAAGCTTACCAAATCTGATGAAAAACATTAATCCAGACATCCCAGAAGCTCAGTGAACTATGAGTAGATTTTTTTTAAAAGATCCACTTTGAGACACGTTATAACCAAACTGTTGAAAGACAAAGAAGGAATCCTGAAAGCAGCCATAGAGAACTGACTTGTCACAAAGAAGGATCTTCAATAAGATGAATGTCTGATTTCTTGTCAGAAACCATGGAGGCCAGAAGGCAGTGGGATGACATATTTGGTATGCTGTTAAAAAAAAAAAAAAAAAGCAACCAAGAATCCTGTATCAGGCAAAATATTCTTCAGAAATGAAGGAGATGTTAACACATTCCTGGATGAGCAAAAGCTGAGTTTGTTGCTAGTAGACCTTGCCTACAAGAAATGCGAAAGGTAGTCCTTTAAACTGAAATGAAAGATTATTGCATGTAGTTGAAATCTGCATGAAGATATAAAAATAAATTAGTAAAGGTAAACATAGGTAAATATGAACATCAGTATTAATATATATTTTTTTGGTTTGTAGCACTTTTTTTCCTGTATGATTTAAAAGATAATTACACTTAACAATGATTATAACATTGTTGGGCACAAAATATATAAGGATGTAACTTGTGGCAGTAACATGAAAGGCAGGGGATGGAGCTATATATAGGAGCAAAGTTTTTGTCTCCTATTGAAGCTTGGTATTAATTCAAACTTAACTCTTATAAATGAAGGTGTTAAAACATCCTTTGCTCATGGATTGGAAGACTTAGTATTGTGGAGATAGAAATAGTCTAAAAATTGATCTACAGATTCAATCCAATCCCTGTGAAAATTCCAACTGACTTCTGCAAATGTGGACAGGCTGATCCTAAAATTCACATGGAATTGCAAGGAACTGGTCCTCAAACAGCCAAAACAGTCTTGGAAAAGAACAACAAAATCAGGGAACTTACACTTCTTAATTTCAAAACTGACTACAAAGCTACAGTAATTCAAACAGTGTGATATTGGCATAAAGGCAGACATATAGAACCATGGGATAGAACTGAGAAGTCAGCCTAAACGTCTATGCTCAAATGATTATTGACAAGGGTGCCAGGACCATTCAATGTGGAAAGAACGTTCTCTTCAACAAATAATGCAAAGACAACTATCCCCAAGCCAAGTAATGAAGTGAGATCTCCACCTTACACCACATAAAGAAATTAAAATAGATTTTAAAAACTAAAGGTAAGAACTAAAATAAAAATCTTAGGAGAAAACAGGAATAAATCATAACCTTGGATGTGGCGGTGGATTTTTACATATGACACCGAAAGAACAAGCAACAACAACAAAAAATAGATAAACCTGATTTCATCAAAACTAGAACTTCTGTTTCAAAGGATGCTATCAAGTAAAAAGACAACCCACAGAATGGGATAAAACATTTGTAAATCATGTATCTGATAAAGGCCTAGGATCCATAATACATAAAAAACTCTTACAGCTGAACAAAAAGACAACCTAATTTTTGAAATGGGCAAAGGATTTCAGTAGACTTTCTCCACAAAAGACATACAGGAGGCTGATAAACACATGAAGAGATGCTCAGCATCCCTAGTCAGTTTAGGCAAATGCAACTGAAAACCACGAGATACCACTTCACATCTAGCATGATAGCTATAATCAGTAAGACATGTTGGAGAGGATAAGGAAAAATTGAAAACCTTATATGTACTTGCTGGTAGGAATGTAACTTGGGACAGCTGCTGTGCCAAAGAAGTTTGGTGGTTCTTCAAAAACTTAACATAGAGTTACTGTTTGACGCAGCAATTCCATCCTTCGTTATAGACCCAAGAGAAGTGAAAACACATCCACATAAACTTACCCAACAATGTTCATAGCGTTACTCATAATAGCCAAAAAGTGCCAACAACCCAGCCATCCATTGATTTGATGAATGGATGAATAAAATGTGGTACATCCGTACAATGGAATATTATTCGGCCATAAGCAGGAATGGAGTTCTGATACATGCTACAACAGAGATGAACCTTGAAAACATTATGCCAAGTGGAAAAAAAAATCAGACATAAAAAAGTCAGGTATGATTCCATTTATATGTAACGGCAGAACAGGCAAGTTCACAGAGACAGAAATATTGGTGTAGAGGTTCTAAGGGATGTTGGGAGCAGGAATGGGAAGGGACTGCTCAGTAGGTACAGGGTTTCTTTCTGGGGTGATGAAAATACCTGGTTTTAGCAAATGGTGATGACTGCACAACATTGTAAAGCCACTGAATTTGCACCATTTTAAATGGTTAACATTTTGACTTTCATGTCAGGTGAATTTTACCTCTGTAGAAATATTTTTTAAAACTTTAATGCGTACACAAATCCCCTGGGGATCTCATTAAAATGTAGATTCTGATTCAGCAGGTAGGGCCCCCAATTGTGCATTGTCGGTAAGCTCCCAGGTGACGCCCCTTCTCTCCACTCAGGGCCACATATTGAGTAACAAGGCTAGTCAAGGGCCCTTCCACTGTGTCGCCTTATGATTCTGGGCATCAGGTGCCTCTCCTCTGTGAACCTACTCCTGCCCTGTCCGTCCCTATAAATAAGGAGGGCAGAAGCCCAGACCCACTGGGGCTCCGAAGTCTGAGCCTGCAGGGGGTGTGAGTCTCAGGGCATGACAGCAGATGGAGAAGTGGGTGTGGCTGCAAGGGTCACGGTCAGCAGACACAGAGGGGACCAAAGGAGTAGTTTTTATTTTGCACAAAGCTGAGGAAGGCAGGCCAGAACACAAGGCTCTGTTCTCAGAGGAGAGTTGCTGTATCACTGCCAGTGGCTGGTGCTCAAAAGTGATCTGAAAGAAAGGGGGCGGCCTCGGAGTCAGCAAACATGGGTGCTGAAGGCTCCTGCCCTTCCAGCCCAGTCCCCTGGGGACTCCTGTGCCAGGAGACACTGCCAATCAGAGGGATGCCGGTCTTCCCCTAGAGGGTCTGGTGGTGGCAGAGGAGAGGGAAAGGGGAGGAAAGGTGTGTAAATGGCCAGGGAAGGAGGCAGCTGCTCTGAGTCAGGGCGTTGCTGAGAGGGGAACTGATCCGACAAGGTCCCCTGACCGGATGCTGAGCTGCAGCAACCCTGGGGGTGGGGGCAGAGAACGCCTGGGGTGAGTGGGGGTGATGCCTCCCACATCTGTCCGAGGAGGAGCCTCCTCGGCTTGTCCAGGCTACACCATGGGGTGGGGCAGCCGTCCCCACCCTGCTGCCCAGCCCCCGAGGCTGCCTTCTCTGCACCCGAGCTGCTCACCGTCTCCGTCTCCTAGGAGGTCGGGGATCGGGCTGAAGGGCCCTGGGGGCAAGTTCCAGGCCAGTTCCTCCAGCTGACCCAGCAGGCCTTTTACTTCTGCCTCCAGGTGCTCCACCGTCTTCTCCACTGTCTAGAGCAAGAAGAGATGGGGGCAGGGGAGAGGTGAGTAGAAGACAAAGTGCCAGGTCCTGCTTAGTCAGCCACATCCTGGGGAGCACCTGGTAGTCCAGCCCAGTGGGGTGCAGTGGGGAGAGAACTGGGTGCCAGGGGAGCTGGGTCCTCCCTGCTCAGGCTGCCCCACCTGCCCCGCCTGCCTCTATTTCCCAGATGACAAAATCCTAAAGGCTCACTCTTTAAGGCCACCCCTCGCTCTGACACTGAGCAGCTTCACCACTTAGTAACTGGTTTGCGTGAAATGGAGGGACCCTGGGATTCATTTTTCAGCCCAGCGTTTCAGGACTTCACCACTGGGAGTTCACATTCTTTTTGTTGCCCTGCCCTCTGGTGGCCATTCTGCCAAATGACAGTTTGGGGATTTCAAAATTTATTATTTAGAGTTCTTAACTGTTTTCATGAATGAACCCTGTTAGCACTCTGGTGAAACCTACAGACCTCCTATCAGAAAAAAGCTTTCATTGAAAAAAATAAAACATAGGATTTCCAAGGACATCAACTGTATTAAGATATCAACATATTAAAATTAAATTTTGATATAAAAATGTATATTTATTAACTTACATAAGTAACACCAGGTCTGACAACTACTGAAATTTTGACATACTGATTGGAATAAAATCATATGTTGAGATATTCCCAACAACTATAATAGGGTGAAATTATCTGATTTGTACTGATGACAAAGTCATAGGTTAATACTACTATAGTTTGTTGACTATATTTATAATGAATGAGAATGCTAAATTGCAGTTAAAGTCTTGTGAAAATAAAGTGCAGTTTCCCCCACACACACACAAGTTTATGGACGCCAGGTTACAAACCATGGTTGTATAAAAAACACAGTGACTGAATTTCCCCCTATTGTGAGTGATTACACAGAGATCTCCGGCTGGGACTAAGGGGAGGTAGAGTCTGTTGGCGGCTGGTTGGCCTCACAGCCCAGGTCAGGCAGGGAGATGCTGAACATGGTGGCCAGGGAGCAGGACTGGCCTGGATTTCCTCAATTTTCCATAGCAAGATTGACCTGAACCCTGCAAAGCCACCCGCCTGGCAGGTGGTCCTGAAGCTGGATGTCCTCCCAGGTCACCCTCATTACCTCCTCCAGGACGTCTAACCGGCTGTGGATGGCCATGTGCCTGTCACACCCTGTGGCCCGAGCTGGGTCTCCATGGGAGGGGATGAAGGGTTCGGCAGCTGTGGGAAAACAAGTCTTGTCACAGTGGGGCCCTCAGCTTCTCTGTAACACTAGAGACTCCTGCAAAGCCCTGGGCTCAAGTGAGGTGGGTCCTGAAAACAGTCCAAAGAGAAGCAGACGAAGGCTCAGTGTGGGTCAGGGTGTGAGTGTGGGGCTGCCCCACTCACTCACTGTCTCTCAGGCCATGGTTACCTACAGACCCAGGTGGGCTTCCTCAAGGAGGTGCTGCCTGAACTGGGTACGATAAGGAAGGGAGGAAAGGTTTCAGCCAGGGAGGAACGGCATGTGCAAAGATAGAGAGGCATGAAATAGCATAGCTCAGTGCACAAACCTTCAGGGAGTCTGGAGTGGCTGGAAAGTACAGGGTGGGTGGGAGATGAGAGTGAATCATAGAAACGAAGTCAGGGGCCCTAATAAACCAATCACAATGCTTGTTTCGGGGGTTTAACAAGAGTCATGTAGCCATATATGAACTTCTAAAACACAAAGAATGGATTGGAGGGATCTGTCTTTGAAAGCAAGATGTTATTGCAGTAATCGGCATAAGAAGTAATGAAAGGAGACAGTAGCCACAGGAAGAGAGGAAAACAATATGTGGAGATGTGTTAGTGACAGCATTGACCTTGGTGACCAGTTACTATCATCTGACATTTGATGAGTGCTCGCTATGTACTGCATGGTGTGCTAAAGAAGTGTGTTAACTCAGTCAACCTCTACAACCACCAACCATTATCCCCAGTTTACATGTAATGAAACTGACGCACAAAGGGGTGAAATGATACGTCCAGCATCACACAGCTTGGAAGCTGAAGATCTGAGGTTCAACCTGTTCAACTCTTAACTCATCATTTTCCTCCCCAATATTGGTTCTCCCTTGGTTCTTCCTGGCATCACCAGCCCTCACACCAGAAGTCTCAGAGCTCCAGTTTCAGTGCCTGTAGGGCACCCAAGTTGGCTGGAACCTTGGAGAACAGGTTGGAGGATACTGTCCCAGAAACAAAGAGAAGAAAGAGCTTTAAGAGGATGAAACGGTCAGCCTGGCCTAAAGCAGCAGGGAGGTCTAGCAAGATAAAGACTAAAACACTGAGCAACAGAAAAGTTGATGCTGAATTCCACCCCAACACTTTTAGCGGAGAGGTGGAGGAAAGCAAACTTTAGATCAGGGTGGGAATGAGAAGGGGAGGAAAGGTCAGGAGGCAGCAACTTAGATCCTGGAAAATATTTCCATGAAGCTTGGCTTTAAAGGAAGGGAGATCTGATCACAAGGTCTAGCGGAGTGTTTACTGTTGTCACTTCTGGTTTTTTAAGCACTGAACACAACCATGCTTAGAGCCTGAGGACCGGGAGAAGACGGGAGAGCTGAAGGAATGCATTTCCCAATAAGATGTGAGGCCATGGAATCCAGCAATGGTGGCAGGGGCTAGGGGCCACCTGTGGAAGGAAGAGAGAGGAAATGTGGCAAAAATGGGTTAAAAAGTTCTAGTTAAAGGGCCAAGAAGTTGAGTGAGTCCCACCTGATGGCCTCTATTCACTCAGTAAAGAAGGGAACCATCTGCTGAAAATGCACGCGGGGTTAGGAAAGGAGAGCCAGTTGCGACGTTTTCAGGAATTCTCGGAGTGAGTTATCAGATGCAGCCACTAAAATGGAGGCCCTGGCAAGAGTAGTTACACCACAGAAACTGACACAGGCTTTTTTGTTTGTTTCCCGAGAACCACACCCCTGGATGAGGGGTTTGAATAAAGAGAGAGCTCCAAAAGGGGGTGAGGACAATGAAGGAGGCAGTTAGGAGGACCCTATGCAGAAGGACCCAGAATCACCAAGGAAGCCCCTTCCCCAGCAGCTCAGCAGGTGAGTGCAGGGCAGCAAAGACAGGGGGCTGGACGGGGCTGACACCTGGGAGCCTGCAGGATGAGCGCAGTGGACAACAAGAGAGCAAAGGAACAGAGGATCTGACCAGCAAGGACTTAAGGGGATGAGCTCTGGAGTCTAGCCTGGATAGGAAAGGGAAAAAGGCCAACAAGAGGAACAAAACTTGGGAGAACTGGAGGGGCTGAAGGGATGGGAGGTCTTGATGAGATAACAGGAGTAACCGAGAGAACAAGTGATAAGGGATGTTGCAGTTTTAGCTTTTAGAGGTGGAGCAGCTTCAGAGTGACAAGAGCAAGGCTGTGGCCACGGATGTGGGCATCTGAAGCAGAGTGAAGGTAAGAGTTATTGGACTTAATCTTTGTAGATGCAAAACTCTTCTAAGACCTCGGAGTTGGCTGGGTTGCCCAAGGAGCCATATAAAGTTGACCAGAAGGTTGGCAGTTCTTGCTGTAAGGATGGGGATGGTGAGTCATTTGGCTGGTGGTGAACGTGTAACTCTGAGAGGTTGAGTGACTTGCCCAAGGTCACACAGTGGACAAATGACTGGACCTCAAGCACCCTGGCCTTCTCCCGGCCCCACCTCAGCAAGCCAGCCTCCTGGAGCTCTGCCAGAGTCCCCACACCCTGACAGTCTCTGGTCGTAACTGGATCTGGATCCCAGCCCTCCCACTCAGGAGCGAGAATCAAGAGCGGGCGCAAAACCTCCTTCCACTCTGAGCATCTTCTGTGGTGAACAGTTCGTGTTTTTACATTCTCCTTTTCATCACAGCCCTCCACTGAATTTTGAAAAGCCTCCTCAAAAGACAGTGGTGTAGTTGTTGACTCTGGGGAGGGAGGGGGTGTTACAATGACACTTTGGCTGTATTTTTTTTTTAAGGGAGTCTTTTAGAGATCTAGACTGAAATATTTATAGATGAAATGCTATGATGTCTTGGATTTACTTCAGAACAACCCAGGCCTGGCTGTGGGAGGAGGCATGGCTGGGGGTGCTGAGCAAACAAGACTGGCTGAGATTGAGAACTGTTAAGACTGAGCGACGGGGACACGGGGTTCATTCTGCTCTTCTCCATACTTTTGGATATACGGTTTGAAATTTTCCATAAGAAAAGCCAGTTGACTGGTGGGGTTGTTAGCAAAAAGCAGAAGCCATTGTGGGCTTTGTGCATTGACATAAAATGTTCAGGACGAGGGAGGGGTGGTCTGAGAAACCCCACCTGGAGGGCTGTGCTCCATTCTGGCCCACACGTTGTGCGAGGCCTTAAACAGGCAGAGGCAGGTCTAGAGGGGGCCACGGTGAAGGGACTCCAGATTCTGACTCACTGGTCTCAGCTAGAGAGGAAAGACTTCGAGGGGGCAGGAAGAGCTGTTCTCACGCACAGAGGGCTATCTGGGGAGAGGGGTTCTTTGTCCACACTCACCCTCTGTAGGCTCTGCCCTGTGGCCAAGCGTTTCCTCTGAGCCCCACCTGCCCCCTCCCAGACCCTACACTACTCTTCCCCTCCTCCCAGCCTCGGCCAAGAGGAGGCAACATAACCCGGCCAGCCAAGCGCGGCCCCGCCAGCTCTGTAAGTCACAGACAACATGAATCTGCTTCCCTCCCTTAGCCTAAAACATCCTGTTCCCTACGTGTCTGCGATGAGGTCTAACTTGGCTCCCAAACCCCTCCAGGGAAGAGGCTGGGCCGAGGGCTGTTCTCCACATCACACAGCAATAATCTCTCACATCTGGACAGAACTGCACCCTGGGCCGCACCGCACAACTGTCTGTGAGCTCATCCAGCCTCCCAGCGGGCTCCGGGAGAGAGAGCTGGGGCAGAGCCAGAGCCGGGACCGGGCCCGCACCACGGCCTGCACCGCTGTGTCCCCACCCCGGCGGGGCCTCAGTGTCCATCTCAACAGATCTCAACGCACGACAGCAGGAAACACACCGGTGACCCCCCACTCTCCACCAGGCTCAGCCACAGATGGGTGTGAGCCCCTGGGAGCCTTCCTCTCCCTGAGCCCCTGCTGCCCACTCTGGACCCCAGGGTGGGGAGGGCAGAGGTGCTGCCGGCCCAAATGTAGTTCCTCCGTGATCCGGCTCTGTCTTTCAAGCCTCAGAACTTAGCTGCGAGGACAGAACCAGGATGAGTCAAGGACAAGCTGCCAAGAACTAGGCAGGAACTTCCTTTACTTCTTGCTTCCTCACTAGTGGGAAGGGGCTCCCGGTCATGCCAGCTTCACGGGGCTTTGGGGAAGCTCAAAACAGGGCAGGAGGCAAGGAGGCTGAAGGATTATCACGCTCGGCCGTGGGCAGCCAAGGCTGTGGTTCCCAGTGTTCCCTTCCTGCCTTCGCTCCCGCCCTCCCGGCCCCGGCCAGTTGGGAAATGGACCTTCTTGGATGCCGGGTTGTTTTCCCTGGCCTGGCTCCTGCTCAGGGCCTATGTGTGCCCTGGATGGTGGCCAAGGGTGGAACATGGTGAGAGCGGGCTGCCGGTGGAGGCCAGAGGCCCAGGGAGGCACTGGGCTAACTTCTCCAGTTAAAGGGACATCCTCTGGGCCCCCATTCTCTGAGTGGGCAGCACAGCCCTCTCTACTGACAGGCAGAGGAGACCTTTGTCTCTGCATCCAAACACTGAGAAGGCGCACATAACTCAAATGACTCCTGACCCTGAAAGGTGCTGCCGTGCCTCTGAACATCAAAGACAGCCTTTGCTTTGACCGGTCCCACTTGTCACTTGGGGGTTAATTCTATTTGACCACATTCAATATAATAGCGTAATAAATTTTACCACATTCAATATTTGTATTAAAATTTGTGATTCCTGCCAAACCATCAGTGGTTTTTGATTTTTTTTTTAAGCAGAACACTCTTCAATTGTATGAAGAACTCTAATCTGTGGACCTGCTCTAGCTGAAACAGGAGAGGGACCCTCAAACCCCCCTAAAAGGGAGCTCAGATTCTGAGGAACATTTTTATTTTGTTCTGTTTGTGGAGTGATACATTCTGTGTCCCTTGTTCTCTGGTCATTTTCCAGATGTGGCTTTGAGCCTTGGTGATCACCTGGAGAGCTTACCAATGTCATTTCAGTACATTCAGTATCTGGTTAGGTGAGGATACAAGCTGAGCTGCTGTAACAAAGAGCCCCCCTCAACCACACACATGTCAGTTCAGAGGCAGAGGGGCTGGTGGGCGGGACTGGCAAGCTGCTCTGCTCCCCAAGGCCATACAGGAACCAGGATTCCTTCTACCTTGGAATACTGTTTTTTTTAATCCACTGGGTTATGAAGTACTAGAACACTCCCAAACCCCTACCACACTGAGGTCTAGGAGGCCACCCAGGATACACCTCTTTCCACACGCTGTGAACAGAACATGAGGTTGGGAGTCAGAGATGCAGCCCCACCTCCAATGTGTGCTGACTGTGCTCTTTGCCTCTCACTCAGCTTCCTCGTCTGTAAGGGATCTGCCCTGCTCTGTCTACTTGGTGGGATGGCTGTGTTGAACCGAGGGGATCCTGCACTTGAAGGTGCCTTGGAACTGCTAAGTGATGTGCAAATGCCATTTGGAGCACTTACCAGGTGAGCTGGAGACCAGGCAAGTCAGTGAATGCCTCAGTGGCCCTGCCACTCCACATGGAGCCAGTGCTCTTTGCTAGATCACGCTGACCAGGTCTCCTCAAGGTGGGGCAGTGTCTGCTCTAAGACTAAACCCATGGAGGGGCCAACGGGGGGGGGGGTTCGTCCAACAAGCACACAGAGGGCGCAGTGCTGACCAGGCTCAGAGGCTCTAGTACAAGCCAGTCCCACTTGCTGGATCCTTGGTTTCTTCACCGTTAGAATAGGTACAATCATACTCTATTTGAAGCTACAGTCAATTGGTGATCACTTATGTGCCAAGCTTTGTGTTGAGTGCTTGTCTGCATTAACTCATTGAATTCTACCTGTGAGTTTAGTATCCTTGGGAAACCAAAGATCAAAGAGACTGAGTAACACACCCAAGTAGACTACACAGCTGCCAGGTGGCGGGGACAGGATTTGAATCCTATCTGTCTGTGCTGTGTACTGACTGTTGGGTGATGAATTAAGTGCCTCCCATCTTAGGGTCTCAGCTGCCTTCTCTGTAAAATGAGGGGCTGACAGCTTTGGGGCAAAGGGGACCTGTATATATGACACCTTTGCACCTGTCTTGAGGCCCCACAAGAGCCCAACTGTGTACACTGGATTGAATTGTCTTTGAGAGGTTCACTCCCCACAGCGCTCACTTTTGTTAGAAGAAATGCCATGATCCTCACCACAACCCTTCAGCATCTTCTTCTTTTACCCAAAGCAAAAAGCAGAATCGCAACCGAAGACAGACGTCCATGGGGACGTGGAGTGGTGGTGGACAGTGGAGAGCCTCCCCCGTGGGCCCCAGGGCATGGGTGAGAATGGCTAACAGGACTAGGCTCTAGGCCTTTAGATCCCACTGATGGCAAAATAAGAAAGGAGCCCAGCTGAACCCTTAACTTAAAAAAAAAAATTCTCTACTAGTAACACAAAACAGTCCGCTTCACTCAACACATAAAGAACTTTTACTGATGACTGTGAAAAATCACAATACCACAATTGAAAAGTCTAAGACAATTCACAAGAATTAGTAGAAATAACCAACATGCACTTGAAGAAAGTCTAACCTAGGTATAATCAAAGAAATGCAAATTAAAGCAATAAGCCACCTTAAAGTATTCTCGCAAAAAAAACCCAAACCTAACTGGAATGTGAAGAAGCTTCTAGATCTAACTACCAGTTTATAGACAATACAGGGGAGAGAAGAACATTCAAATGACATCTGGGGGGTGCAGGCAGCTAAAATCTAAATGTGGAAAGCCAGGCTTAACAACTCAGCTTCTTCAACAAACACATTTTAAGAAAAAAAGGAGGAAAAAGAAATTACTAAAGAAATTTAAAAATTTACTAAAAGAAACTTAACAGACACATCGATCAAAAGCAATGTATGCACCTTATAAGTGGATCAAACAAACCAAATGTAAAAACAAGATGCAATCAGGGCAGCTGAACACTGATTGGATATTTGCTGATATTAAGGAATTATTGTAATAATTTTTAGAGTGTTATGTTTATCAAAAGATTACTTATCTTTTAGAGATACACAAAGCAGTATTTATAGATAAAATTATATAATGCCTGGAATTTCCTCGAAAATAATCTGAGGGAGGGGAGAGAAGGTGGGGACAAAAGGTAAATCAGGATTGGTCAGGAATGCATCCTTTTTGAAGCACAGTGATGGGCACATGGGGGTTCATTATACTATTCCGTGTTGATATCCAAAAGATTTCATGATCAGCAGTTAAGAAAAACAACGGTATATTGTCTGAAGTCTGAAAGGTTAATACACAAAAATGTGTAAACTCTATGTGAAATTACATTAATATGTTTATACTTTCCTCTTTAAAAAAAATCTACAGCAATGAACCTATGTTATTAGAGAGAAAATAATGTTTAAAAACAGCTTTAAACTAAAGCATATATACCAGTCATGGCTAAAGGGGCCATAAAAAGTCAGCGACTTGTGGACAGTGGCCAACCCCACCCTCTGGGGGAGCACAGACTCGGCTTTGTCCCCTTGGTCCTGGAGGTGGGGGCTCCGGGGGGAGGAGCAGGGAAGGAAGGGGAAAAGACGGGCACTGTGGGCCGGGCTTCATGCAGGGCTGGTCCCAGCCACTCCTCACGCAGCCTGTGAAGAAGCGGTGGCTGGTCCTGGTCCTCCTTAACCCACCTCAGTGGAGAAACCAGGGCTTAGATCAGCGGAGCTGTCTGAGGGGATGAGGGGAGGAGCCGACGTGTGTTGACACGTGTTCCGTTGTTCCGTGCTGGGTGCTTTCCTTCCATCCAGCTCTGCTTGGTGGGTGCCATTCTCCCCAACTTACAGAAGAGGAACCAGTCTCAGGGAGGTGAAGTGACTCACCCAAGGTCACCAGGACCAGGACTGGCCTCAACTCTTTCCCTGGGTGCTCACTCCCACAGTTTTCTGTGCCCTGAGCCGGTCTGGGCGAGGGGTAAGGGGACCTTCCATCTTAATACAGGGCGCTTCACCTGGGTGACTCACATCCACTGGCTCCAGGTTGATGGAGGAGCTGGTGGGCTGAGGGGCAGGAGCCCTGGATGCCTAGAGACCTGAGCCTGCCTCTCACCTGCACAGCTGGGATGAGCACCAGCTACCTCTGATTGAGGCCCACAGGAGACTTGGCGTAAATGGGAACGCGGCTTGTAAACTGTAAAGTGATATACAAACCGCAGAGTCTTGGGGTGGCAGAATGAACATCTGTGTGTACAATAAGTGCCTCTGTGGCCACCCCGTCCGAGCCTCACCTGGGAAGGGCCAGCCCTAAGACAGCTGTCAGGGAGGGGAGAGGGGCAGGGCACGAAGGAACCCAGCCAGCGGGGCACCCAGAGGGCCTCTCCCTCCCGCAGCACCCCTCCCCCAGGCAGCTGAGGCCCTGGGGGAAGCTCTCCAGAAGGCTGATGAGTGGCCTCCTCACCTAGACCGCAGAACCCCCAAGGCCACCTGGCAGGTAAAGCAGTGGCCTCCAGGGGCCGCGTGCCTGGCCCCTGCCTGGCTGTGCTGGGCGCAGGCCTGGGTCATCCGCCGCGCAGGAGCTCAGCTTCCCAAGGAAATTTCCGGTAAAACCAGGCCTGGGCGGCCCTGCAGGCCCTCTGGGCGGGGCGGCCGCATCCCGCAGACTGACCTTCCACCTTGTGAGCCAGGTCTCTCTCTCCTCCCGACCCGGGGCGCTGAGTCTCTCCGCTCTCGCTCTTCCTTTTGGTCTCTCTCAAATCCTTCTCTTTTCCTCAATGTCCTCTCTCTCTCCCCCTCTCCTCCAACCCCTTTCTCTTGCCATCTTAGTTCCTCTATTTCTTTCCCTCTTGTTCCGTTTGCCTCTCAAACTCCTTTTTCTCTCTAGCGTCATTCATGGTTCATACCCGCCTGTTTACCTCCGAAGTCTCTTTCGGTCCCAGCCTCTCCCTTTCTCAATTTCTCCGTCTCTCCTTTCTAATTCTCTGTCCCTCTGCCTTTCTCTCTGTCCCTTTTTCTGTCTCCGTCTTTCTCTCTGTTTTCTCTCACCATCCTCCTCTCTCCCTCCCTGTCTTTTTCCATCTGGCTCCGTTTGCATCTCCCTCCCTCTCTCCTGCTCCATCCTCGCGTTCCGCGGTCTCCCCGGCCCCGGCCCCCGCCCCGCGCCCGGGCCCCACTCACCGGCGAAGGCGCCCGCGG